GGAATGATTTTGAATGCCCGGAGCCAACTGTAGGCCACTTCGTGGTCTTCGAGTTCCCAGAACTCCATTCCTGGGCATGATTTTGAATGCCCGGAGCCAACTGTAGGCCACTTCGTGGTCTTCGAGTTCCCAGAACTCCATTCCTGGGCATGATTTTGAATGCCCGGAGCCAACTGTAGGCCACTTCGTGTTCTTCGAGTTCCCAGAACTCCATTCCCGGGCCACATTTTGAATGCTGAGGCAGGCTGAGGCTGAGGCTGAGGCAGGCTGAGGCTGAGGCAGGCTGAGGCTGAGGCCGAGGCTGAAGGCAGACTGAGGCTGAGGCTGAAGCAGGCTGAGGCTGAGGCTGAGGCAGGCTGAGGCTGAGGCTGAGGCAGGCTGATGCTGAGGCAGGCTGAGGCTGAGGCTGAGGCTGATGCAGGCTGAGGCTGAGGCAGGCTGAGGCTGAGGCCGAGGCTGAAGGCAGACTGAGGCTGAGGCTGAAGCAGGCTGAGGCTGAGGCTGAGGCAGGCTGAGGCTGAGGCTGAGGCAGGCTGATGCTGAGGCAGGCTGAGGCTGAGGCTGAGGCTGATGCAGGCTGAGGCTGAGGCAGGCTGAGGCTGAGGCCGAGGCTGAAGGCAGACTGAGGCTGAGGCTGAAGCAGGCTGAGGCTGAGGCTGAGGCAGGCTGAGGCTGAGGCTGAGGCTGAGGCAGGCTGATGCTGAGGCAGGCTGAGGCTGAGGCTGAGGCTGATGCAGGCTGAGGCTGAGGCAGGCTGAGGCTGAGGCCGAGGCTGAAGGCAGACTGAGGCTGAGGCTGAAGCAGGCTGAGGCTGAGGCTGGCAGGCTGAGGCTGAGGCTGAGGCAGGCTGATGCTGAGGCAGGCTGAGGCTGAGGCTGAGGCTGATGCAGGCTGAGGCTGAGGCAGGCTGAGGCTGAGGCCGAGGCTGAAGGCAGACTGAGGCTGAGGCTGAAGCAGGCTGAGGCTGAGGCTGAGGCAGGCTGAGGCTGAGGCTGAGGCAGGCTGATGCTGAGGCAGGCTGAGGCTGAGGCTGAGGCTGATGCAGGCTGAGGCTGAGGCAGGCTGAGGCTGAGGCCGAGGCTGAAGGCAGACTGAGGCTGAGGCTGAAGCAGGCTGAGGCTGAGGCAGAGGCAGGCTGAGGCTGAGGCTGAGGCAGGCTGATGCTGAGGCAGGCTGAGGCTGAGGCTGAGGCTGAGGCTGAGGCTGAGGCTGAGGCTGAGGCTGAGGCTGAGGCTGAGGCTGAGGGCTGATGCTGAGGCAGGCTGAGGCTGAGGCTGAGGCTGATGAGGCTGAGGCTGAGGCTGAGGCTGAGGCTGAGGCAGGCTGAGGCTGAGGCAGGCTGAGGAGGCAGGCTGAGGCTGAGGCTGAGGCTGATGCAGGCTGAGGCTGAGGCAGGCTGAGGCTGAGGCCGAGGCTGAAGGCAGACTGAGGCTGAGGCTGAAGCAGGCTGAGGCTGAGGCTGAGGCAGGCTGAGGCTGAGGCTGAGGCAGGCTGATGCTGAGGCAGGCTGAGGCTGAGGCTGAGGCTGATGCAGGCTGAGGCTGAGGCAGGCTGAGGCTGAGGCCGAGGCTGAAGGCAGACTGAGGCTGAGGCTGAAGCAGGCTGAGGCTGAGGCTGAGGCAGGCTGAGGCTGAGGCTGAGGCTGAGGCTGAGGCTGAGGCTGAGGCTGCTGTGACTGCCACTGCGACTTTCATCGCGAATGCGACTACGACTGCGAGAACAGCAGAATTCTACAACTGGAGTCTCATCTGAATCTTAAGGGGAATGCTTCCAGATATGCTCCTACACATCGCTGTTAGGTTGCTTTGCCGGGATAATTTGTTGCCCTCCCTACACGCGGCTTCTGCTGCGTACGACTGTCTCTGTTGCGCATGGTTTCCTCTGCTAGCGTTCTCTGTTGCGCATGACTTCCTCTGTTTCGCATGCGCTTCCTCTGCTACACGAATGGCTTCTTTCGTATCCGCATGGCTTCCTCGGTATATGCATGGCGCCCTGTGGCTATTCCAATGGCGTCACAGCAGTCGTCCAACAATCGTGAAACACAACTGGAGTATAATAGAGCAAATTGTAGTAACATAGACAACACAGATAATACGTAGCGGTAGAGGAGAGCATATTCAAGTAGAGCAGAGTCGAGTAGACCCGTGTGGAGTGAATCGAGTATGTAAGAGCAGAGGTTAGGAGTAGAGTACAGTAGGAAAACAGTACAGTATGTTATGCTAAACTAGAGAAGACAAGAGCAGATTAGATCACACTGGAGTATAATAGAGTACATCAGAGCACTAGAGTAGTGTGGATTAGAGTGGAATGTATTATACGAGATGAGGATCGAGTTGGAGTTTAGTAGAGTCGGAGTAGAGTGGAGTAGGATTAGAGCGGGGTAGGAGTAGAGTAACGTAGGGTAGGATAGAGTAGAGTAGAGTAGGTTCTGGTAGGGTAAGGTAAGGTAGGGTACCCACAGGTTGCCGCCATCAACCCCCACGAGGGAGGTCAGAACGCGCCTGTGGCCAATCCTACCATGAGGCCTTCCACACTCCAGCCCCCAACTGGGTGCTGGGGGCGAGGTGGGCGCGCTCGGGCCTAACAGGGTCACAGCCTGCACAGACACGGTGGGAACCAAGAGAGTATCTGCATGTATTCAGGGCGAGGCCTGGCGCGAGAGAGGAGCCGCCGACCGCCGCGCTTGTCGCACGGCCTGCCCGGCGACATCCTCCAGCTGCCCGATGACCATGTGGGAGTGGTCGAGCTGATCCATGAGTGCCTGGGCCACCGCCTTCAGCTCCATGACCTCGCTCACCAGGGCCTCGGACGTCAGTTCGACGCTCTTCAGCAACCCCGACATGTCGAGCAGCTACGTGTCCTTCTGGGCCACCTCCTCCTTGAAGCGGCCCGTCACGTCATGCTCCCCGCCCTCGGTCGTGAGCACCGCCGCGCTCGTGAGCCGCCGGGCCACCGCCGTGGTCCCCATGAGCTCCAGAGCTACGCCATCGCGCTCCACCGTGACGGCGACGCGGCGAGGGACACCTTCAACTCCTCTGCCATGGCTTGCGCCTCTCCGTCCTTGAGGCCGAGCTGCCGCCAGAGCTCCACCGACTTTGCCTCCTGCTGGGCCATCTTCTGCGTGACCTCCGCAAGCTCGACCTCCTTCTGCTTCATTGGCCTGCTTGTATGCTGCTCCTTTGTTGCCTCCATCTCCAGCAGCTTCTCGCCCAGCGACTCCTGCCAGGTGGACTTCAGCTCGAGATTGCCGCCGCCGCCGTCGAAGCCCGCCAAGGAAGGAGACGCCGTGACTGGGGCCCGCGGCGCCGCGGTCCACGGCCGCGCCGCCTGGCCTCGCACGCCGTGCTGGGCACCGCCTCGGCGCCCGCGCCGCACTCGGCATGCTGGGCCCAGCTGCGGCAGGCCTCGGCGCCGCCCGACGGGCGAGGCGGCTCCGGGCACCCGCTCCGCGAGGAGCGGCCTCGCCGGGCGCTCCCGGGCGCTGACCTCGCCGCCGACCGCCCGGTCGAGTGGAGCTGGGCACACTGGATCATATCAGAGTGCAGTCGAGTAGTGTGAGGCCGAGTAGAGGATACCATCTTAAAGCCGAGTACAACAAGAGTAGAGCAGGAGTAGAGTAGAATAGATTAGAGTAGAGTAGAGTAGAAGTATCATGGAGTAGAGAAAGGCGAGTCTACTATTTTAGAGTACAGGGTAATTTCGATTAGAGTAGAGTTGAGCAGGTTGGAGAAGAGAGGGGTAGATGGTAGAGTAGAGTCGTGTATAATGCAGTCGATCAGAGTAGGGTAGTGCAGCGCAGAGTAGAGCAGAGGATTGCCTAGTAGGAGCAGAGTATAGTAGGAGTAGTGTAGAGTAGGAGTAGAGTAGAATAGTGTCGAGTAGGGCTGAGTTGGGTAGCGTAGAGCAGGGTGGAGCACATCAGAGAAGAGTAGATTAGAGCAGCGTGGATGGTTGAGAAGAGTCGGGTCTGATAGAGCAGGTTAGAGCAGAGTGGAGTAGAGTACACCCCAGTCCACAGTCCAGTCTACTCCTGTCCAGTAGAGTGTCGTGCGGCTCGGAGGAGTTGCTGCGCCTCCAGCGGGTGTTAGGCCTCCCGTGGTGGCAGTGCTGCACGCTCGTATTCGTGGTTTTCCCTCTCCTCCTCCCCTTGCATCGCCTTGCTCCCGGCGCGGCACCAGTACGTTTTGGAGTCGTTTGAACCGCCCGAATTTCCGGCCCTTCGCCGTCCGCTCGCCCTGGCAATAGTTGTCACAAGTAGCTCCTCTGTTGGCGGCTGTCTTTCCGCGGGGGGCAGACGTTGCCCGCCCAGGCGGGCACCACCTGCAGGCAGCGCAGGGCTTGTGGCAGCACCGTTGGAGCTTCGCGCTGGTTCTCCATCCCCCCCTTCATAAAGTTTGTTTACTCCAGCCCAGTCAACTTCAGTCCACTCCAGTCCACTTCCTTCCAGTCTTCTGATCTGCCTGGAATCTGTGCTGGCGGATCTGTATCGGGATTCCGGACAGCACTAGTCGCCCTCCGCACCAGTGCGCGACGCCTGCTGGGCAGGAGCCCTTGCTTAGCCTGTCACGCGAACCACCTCCCCACTCACGAGGCATCGACGTCCCGAGCTCTGCGGAGCGGAGCGACACGCTGTCCGCTCGTGTCGCCTGGGCCGCTGCCGCGACACGCTGAGCTCGGCGGCGAGCGAGGGGGGGAAGTGAGAAGGGGGAGGCCCTCCCAGAAGGCCGCGGGGCTTTGAGAAGCCCTCCGCCCTTTTGAGACGTTGTCTGTGTCTCCGGAGAAGGCTCAGGAAACTTCTCAGAATGCCCGAGGCCTTCCAAGCCTTCTGAGAAGGTCCGCCCCTTCTCACTTCCCCCCAGGCTCGGGGCCGAGCTAAGCACGTTTTCCTAACCGTAGGCGCCGATCTCCGCGTCGCATCCTGTCTGCAACGGCTCGAAAGCGGTCGGGCTCCACGCTGGCCGCTTGCCTGGCGATGCCCGGACGTCGCCGCGGGCCTGCGCATGTCCTTGCCGTCTTCGCCCGCCGACGCCCGACGACGACGACGACGACGACGACGACCACGACGACAAGGATGAGGACGACGACGAGGACGATGAGGACGACGAGGACGACGACGACGACGACGACGACGATGGGGACGAGGACGACGACGAGCGACGAGGACGACGACGACGAGGACGAGGACAAGGACAACGACGAGGAAGAGGACGACGATGACGACGACGACGCTCATTGTCTCCCCGTTGCCCTTCTTCTGAGCTTCGCGGCCCTGTGCCGCACCGGTCGCGCTCTTGTTGGGAGCCCCGGAGGGAGCCCCGTCGTGTTGGATTTCTCCACGGGAGTTTCTGCAGCCCGCACCCGCGTTTTCTCCACGCGATTTGTCCTCGCGATTTCTCCACGCGATCTCTCCCTCTGCCTCTGCCTCTCGCGTTTTGTGAGTGTGTGTTCCTTGTCTCTCTCTCTCTCGTTCTCGCTCTCGCTCTCTCTCTTTTTCGCGTTGTTTGTTTTTTGATGCTGTTTTTTGTGAGCGATCGTGTTGCAACGTTGATCGCGGGCACGAAACAGCGGGGCGGGCCCCCCCACCCCAGCCCCCATGCTTGGGCAAAAGAGAAGGTGGGGCGCCGCGTGGCGCGCAGCGGCGCGGGGCGACGCAAGCCCAAGCGATGGGCGCGAGGCGTCGCGCAATCCGCTTTGCTTGCATAAGCGAGCGCGCGAGGGGGAGCGTGCGCCGCCCAGGGTTGGGAGGGGCGCCGCACACGCTCGGCTGGGGGGGGGGTCCCGCCACGTTCGGCGAGGGGGCACCTGCGGTGCGGCTTTTGCCCGCCCACCGCGCCCCTGGTGGCCATTCAGCTTAGGGTGTTCGCACTGGGCGCTCGGCTAGGCCAGCGACGCAGGCTGTGCCCGAGCCACCGTCGGCTCGGGGCACCGCTGCGCGCGGCCATGGTCGAGCGCCGCACCCATCGTCGCGGTGCGACTCGCCGAGCCGTTTGGCGTCCGCGCCGAGGTTTTGTGGTTGTTTGTGTTTTTTTGTTTTTGTTTTTCTCTCTCTCTCTCTCTCTCTCTCTTTCTGTCTCTCTCTCTTTCTCTCTCTCTCCCTCTTTCTCCTCTCCTCTCTTCTACCCTCCCCTCTTCCCTCTCCCCTCCTCTACTATCCTCTCCCCATTATTTCTCACGCATAGCCCAGCCGATATTGCCACCGCACTCTCAGCCTGGAGACGACTGAGGCATCTCACGTCTCCCTTTTCCAGGCCAAGGGTCTGCGCGCGGGGTCATTTCGCAGGTCCACCCCCAGACATCCGACGTTTTGGAAACATCGGGGCGACGTTTGTTGCGTTTTTCGACATCCGGGGGCCCGTTTCGCGCCCCAGGACCGTACAAACATACTGCTCAGGATGAACAGTTGTACCAGCGCCCTCCCCGGGATGTCCCAACGTTCTCTCTGGGATGCGTGTCTAGTTTTGTTTCAAGGCGCGGTCCCCGTTTTGACCAAATAACGCATCGGATGTCCGGGAGTGTCGCTTCAGAGGTGAACGCAGCGTCCAGGATGGCGCCGAGGGAGGGCAGCGCAGTTTTCAATGACCGTGCTCGTTTTCACCAGTATTCCCAATTCAGATAAGCCTTATTATGTCATGAGCGCGCGCGGGGCTGGCAAGTACCGGTGTCACGCTCGTGGGGGAAATCATTCTGTCATTGTCGTTGACGAAGCAGCCCTGCAAGGGGCGTCCGATCAGAGATCGGGCCCCGGCTCTCCCGAGGCCTGGCGCCGCCGGATAATAGCGCCTGGATCCTTCGATCTCAAGCCTGGCTGTGCTTCAAGTCACCTTCGCCTCCGAGCCCACTCCACGATGTCATGGGTTCTGCGTGCCGACAATTACCCGGGACGCACTCAACCCCGTCTCCACGCGAGGCGAATCTATTTGCAGGAACGTTCCATACAAACGAACACATCGCCAGATATGAGCGATCTGCGCTGCCCTCATCCCCACCGTGACTCCCACGAGCCTGCCAACATGGTGCCATTTGCGCACTTCGCAGCCTCCCAGGGAACCGCGAGGTCTCGGCTGGATCCGTGTGGCCCAGTGGCCCCCTACTGCCGCCGTGCCTCCCAGGAGCCCACGAGAATGGCAAGAGTTGCGCGGTTCGCAGCCACCCAGGGAGCAGCGAGGTATCAAATGGCCCGCTTACTCCCCGACCCCACCGTGTCTCCCAGGAGCCCACGACAGTGGCATCAGTTGCACTGGGCAGTTCGCAGCCGCCAAGAGAACAGCGAGGTCTCAAATGATCCGTTTACTCCCCGACTCCGCCGTGCCCCCCAGGAGCCCACGACAGTGGCGCAAGTGGCGCAGCTCGCAGCCTCCCAGGGAGCAGCGAGGTCTCCAATGATCCGTTTACTCCCCGATTCCGCCGTGCTTTCCTAGGAGCCCACGAAAGTGGCGCACAGTTCGCAGCCGCCCAGGGAACAACGCAGGAGGAGGCAGGACGAGGGAGGAGGGGGGGGGAGAGGAGAAGAGGAAAAGGAGTGGATACCACAGTGCCGTATGCAAAACGAGAACCCAACACAGGAGGGTGGAAAAATACGACTCTGCAGCTCTCGACACCCCGTTCAGGGTCCATTTTGATCCGATTTGTCCGATTCGATCGATTTCGTCCAGCCCGATCTGATTCGATTCCGACATTTCGACGGTCCGGTGCGGCCCAGTGCTTACATGGCGCTGTAGTGCATTGCGGAGAGGCCCATACGATTCGATCCCGACACCGTGCTGACGCGGCCCGGTCCCACGCTCGTTCCGATTTGATCTGGGTTCCCGATGTGATGCTGACTGATCCTGCCTTCTCCACGGCCCTTCCCGAGCCAGACCCAGCATAGGCCACCCGCGGGGGCGCGAAGCTGATTCGGCGTCGCTGTGCGTCGCCCCCCCCAGGGGCGACGCGCGCACCGAGGAATCTTATAGTATAAGCTCCGTGGTGGGCGCTTTCTGGCTCCGTTCGGGAAACGATATACTACAATTTGGCTGTACTACATGATCGGGTCGGACGCACGCCTCCGAGGAGGACACATAGCACTACTGTGGGATCCGAAGTTTCGAAACAATTGAGGCATAGTGAAAAACCATGACCAGGGCCCCAGACCCCAGCTTTCTGCGCCATTCTTCGAGTCAGATCCATCTGTGAGGGTCCTGGGGCCCGAAACTGGGCGATAAAATGCCTGGCTCGAAAAAATGGAGTCGCCAGGATCTCGGGGTCGTGTGTCCTCCTGCGTTCCGCTGATCGCGCTCCGCGCTTCGCAAAGCTCGGGTGTTCTCACGACTAGGAAAACTGAAACACGACAAGAGAAAACTGAAACACGACAAGGCACGGCTTATTCACGACAAGCAACAAGCAACTTCGCCGCCCACTTTCGCCGCCCACTTTCGCCGCGAAAGGGGGTGGCGAAAAGGGTGGCGAAAGTGGGTGGCGAAAGTGGGCGGCGAAAGTGGGTGGCGAAAGTGGGTGGCGAACGTGGGTGGCGAAAGTGGGCGGCGAAAGTGGGCGGCGAACGTGGGTGGCGAAATTGGGTGGCGAAAGTGGGCGGCGAAAGTGGGTGACGAAAGTGGGTGCCGAAAGTGGCCGGCGAAAGTGGGCGGCGAACGTGGGTGGCGAAAGTGGGTGGAGAAAGTGGGCGGCGAAAGTGGGCGGCGAACGTGGGTGGCGAAAGTGGGCGGCGAAAGTGGGTGGCGAACGTGGGTGGCGAAAGTGGGCGGCGAAAGTGGGTGGCGAAAGTGGGTGGCGAAAGTGGGCGGCGAAAGTGGGTGGCGAAAGTGGGCGGCGAAAGTGGGCGGCGAACGTGGGTGGCGAAAGTGGGCGGCGCAAGTGGTCGGCGAAAGTGGGCGGCGAAAGTGGGCGGCGAACGTGGGCGGCGAACGTGGGCGACGAAAGTGGGCGGCGAACGTGGGTTTGCTTGTCGTGAATATGTCTCTTCCTTGTCGTGAAGCTGCTTGTCGCGAAACCATCCCGGCCATCGGGCTTCGCGGCGGGGGCCGCCGCGCTGGCCCTCTTGCAGGGGGGGCGGCGCGAGGGGCGCGGGGAGATGGCCGAGCGCCAGGTCGCGGTGCGCGGAGAGGTGGGCGACATGCATGGCCCGCCCCCGTGAGGGCCCAAACGGTGTCGTCGTCGTCGTCGGCGTCGTGGGGTGACGATTGGCACCGATATGGTCGTGAGGACCTCGTCGACCTCGACAGGCCTCGACACTCGACGATGCTCGATCCTCGATTCTCTCTCTCTCTCTCTCCCTCCTCCTCCTCCTCCTCCTCCTCCTCCTCCTGCTCCTCTTCCTCCTCCTCCTCCTGCTCCTGCTCCTCTCCATCGGCTCAGTCGCAAGTTGCAATGTATCCGACGTCGTGCTATGGCTGGTCACCTCCTCGTGCATCTGAAATGCCCGTACGTCCTTGCGCCTCAGGCTGTTGCACTCCCGCCAGATCGTGTTCGGTGGGACCTCGATGCTCTCTCTCATGACAGCTGTTCGGCGGGGACAAGGGCGGCGGCAATTCCTGGAGGCCGTGAAGGACCGCACTGCACAGAATGAGGCGCTCACGCAGAGGCTGCTCTCCTACCCGACGGCCGACCTGGCCTTCGACTACCTCAGCGAGGTTCTGATCACAGAGGGCGAAAAGTTCTACGGGGTGTCGCCGAAGGCCAAGGTTCCCAACCCTCTGGCCGCGGAGCGACTGGAGCTTCTTCGACGACGACGGGCGCTTCGGCTACGGCTAGAATGTGTTGATGACAGCGATGGGGAGGTTTCTATTGCTGCTGCACTGCTCGAGGTCACGAAGGCCAACGGTCGACGCCTACGGCGGGAAGCTCGTGCTCGACAGGCTCAGCAAGTCGACGACATTCATGAACTCTGGCGAGGGCGGCGGCTGGCGGAGGCAGCTCGACTGCGCCGCCGCGTGGGAGGCACGCGTTTCGGCCCGAAGCGCCGAGATTATCAAGCACTGCGTGGGGCAGTTGCCAGCGCGGCGGGGTTGTCAGCGCAGTTCGCGCGTGAGGGGGCGGAGGGGGGAATGAGTGCTGAACGAATCTCTAGCTGGGAATGGTGGAGGGATTGGTTGCCTTCTCGAGCTCCTCAGCCTGCTCTTGCAACCGTTCAAGATCGGCAAGCAGCTGGTCGTGACTTTCGAGGCATTTGGCGTGCTCTGCTCAAGGCTGGCAATAGACGGGCTGGACCTTCGTGGGCCCCACCCCCGGAGCTCTGGCGGTTGCTGCTGCGCCCAACTCGTAACTGCGAGCGGGGGCAAGCTGGGCTCGGAGCGGCCTCTGAAGGTTATAGTGTTCCCGGGTTCCAGGAGTTTTTCTGGGAGTGTCTTGTATGGATTCGGAGTTCTGGGTGGGCCCCTATTCGATGGCACTGTAGTGGGGGAGCTCCTCTACCTAGACCTGATGGGGGGACTCGGGGGGCACATCTCTTGGATCCTATTGGGAAGGCCGTTCTGACCAACCTGGTGCACCAGCGGGGCCCTGGGCGCTTTGGGGACT